ATCTCAGTCAGTTCCTTAAGATCCTTTGGTTGAATATGATTTAGATCTTCTGAATAATAAATATTTAAATTATCTAAATATTCTTTTACTGCTTTTTATTAATCCTGCTGCTAGATATTCCCAAACCTCATTAATATTTATCTCACTGAGCTCCATGCACTTATTTTCTTTTCTATTAAATATAGTGGAAAAATGTAAATGTTGAGCAATCCTTTTTCTCTCTGGCCAGTATCAGTTGACCGTCCTTTTGATTTAGGAGATATTTGTTTTCTTTTATCCATAGTGTATTTATTTTCTTCATGTCTTCTCCCAGGTTACTCCATTAACTTGAATTCTATTTTGTCCTCTCCCATCCTTATTATGTCTATATTTCTGTATTACAAATGTGGCTGCTTGTATTTTTAGCTCTCATTTATTGTGTTCTTTGCCTTCTGTCAGTTTTAAATGGACAGTGTTGCCATATTTACGACTAAGGGATTTTTCTACGTAGAACTTGCAGACTGCCTCATAAAAATATTAAAATATGTGCTTTATGTATTTGTCATATATGCAGCTATAGAAGAATAATGCCTTTTCATTTTTGCTAATTTGAAATAGTGGTATTAGAAGTAGCAATTTAAGGAGGGCTGTTGTATGCAGGTGTTTGAATATGAAAACTGTGTGATTAAATACTGGCATCATTGTAGCCTGTGGGAATATTGCCATTGGCTTCAGCTGGGTTTGGATTTTACTTTGATTCTGCAATTGTACATAGCTTTAACTTCAAGCCTAGAATGAGATCGATGCCTTTAGCAGAAGTTCCAACACAGTAACATTATTCCTCTGCTTAAGAGCTTGCTGAACTGGGCAATATTTTTCAGGTAAGAGATGTTTTCACAAAAACCAAATTTATGTAGAATGAAGATGTTTCTATTTTAGAGCTAATGAACAACTTGAGTGAATCCGTCATCTGCATTTGCTCAAAAAACAGTATCAAAATATTTATGGATAATATGTTGTTTAAAAATATCTGATAAAGTCACAGACCCATTTGCATAAGTGTTTTCCTGCAGTGTTCCATCCACAATACTCATCAAAGAACAATTGAAACAATATTGTATTAATTGCCATTAAGTAATAAAAACATCCTTAAATTGTGACATTATGCAATTCTAATTCAAAACTGGAAGAACTTTGGTTTTTATTGTTGACATGACTTGATACAGGTTGCTATGTTTGAAGTTTGGTACAATGTCTAACAAAAATGCCTAAAAATACTATTGCTAGGCTATGACTACTCCCACAGTATGGGTGTGCATGTACATAAGTGTTTTTTAAACAATGATTACTCCACAGAATCAAAACTTGAATCATTAAGATATTTGGAATATCATAAAACATTTAAGGCTTGTGGAGGTTTTCTAATAATAGGGAATTCTGCAGGACATGCAGCTGATGTTGATACATGTTTGTGAGTGTGGCTGAAAGCTATGGTGGGACTATGGCACAGTATGCAGCTGCAGGCTTGGCACTTAAGGCTGGTCTAGAAATACAGGCACCTTTTTCTCATCTGACTTTTATTTATCGGGTGTGATCAGTTCTTTGAGCTGCATCATGAGTTTTTAAGGAATTTGCTTTCTTATGTTGTGCAGTTAGAAGTCACTCTACAGCAACAACAGGAAGGTACTCACTCTTTCAAGTTCTTTGTGCAGTTTCTTATTGTCAACTCAATAGATATGGAAATTTTGAATTTCTTAAAAATTAAGGCTTGCATGGAAAAAAATGCACTATTTTTATTTTAACTGCACTAAAGCCACAGTTTGTTGAGAATATCAGGGCTCTAGCTGTAGTTTTTTTTATTGTAAAAGTTATCTTAATTGTTTCATTCAGAATCAATAATGACAAATAAAACAAGCTCTTCAGACACTACATAAAAGGACAATATGCAGACTACATTTCAAAAATGTCTGGTTTTACAGGTTATTAATATGGATTGAGATTACTGTATTTTTGCAATTCAGATTCCATCTGGTTTTAACTTATGCTCTAGAAAATGAAAGTTTAGATAGAGATCTTGAGTAGCTGTCTTACTGGCTTCAGCTGCTTGGAGCTGTAGTGCCAAAAGAATGGATGTGAAAAAACTGACATGCAATGAAGGCTGATAAATAGAGATGCAATAGCATGAAAATTATAGTTATGAATAAAAGATTTATCCTCAACCCCATGATTTTTTGTATTATTTATATCATCATAGTATACAATTTTCCATCGTCACTTACTCCACGCTTCCGAGATTCTTCACAGGAAAGTAACTGATACTTTCAAGTCAGAAATACCAGCAATTGTTCAATAGCTAAAACAGGCAGTTGCAGGAGAAATGGCCATAACAATGAGCTGGAGCTGCTCATCCGGGATCATTTTGTTTATATTGATCTCTTGCCAGTGTTTGCACAGAATAAAATATCTTAGCTGGTTTGTAGTTTGGAAATAAATATAAATGTCTAAGGATGTATTGCCTTTATTCTTTCCCAAATGCTGGTGTGCCAGCAGGACACTTTCCAATTTGTTTGTCTTCTTTCTTAAGTATATAAAAGCCATTTAATACCAAGAATAATTAAAGTAATAAACAGACATTACTGTGTCCAACTAAATAGAGAACGAATAAACCTAAATATTTACTAAAGGCTTGTTGCAAAATGGCAGCATTATTCAAGTAAATCAACCAATATGGCCCCCACCATTAACAAATAAACACGTATGAAAAATGAACAGAATCCCCACTACTTTTCCACTCTTGTGCAGCTTTAACTCCATGATTGTCTCCAGTGTGGCAATGCATTCATGTTGAATTTCAAGCCTGGCAGCTGCCAGAGGTTCTCTGCTCCTCTAAGGGGAAGGAGTGGGAGCAGAATGGTGCCTGCACTACTGGATGGTCCTCTGTCACAGCCTCTTTTTTCAGACTATAATGTTTAAAATCTCAAATCAAACGCTGTGCTGGACCATCATTTTTTCACCTCACATCCATCCATTTCCCTCTGCAAAGTGAGATGTCTCATTGCTAAGCAAAGAGGAGAGAAACTGATGCAGGTAAATTCTTACAAACCTTCTCTTGCAGACGCATATTGTATCTTACTGAATACTAAATACAAAGCAGATACAACTTACGCTATGCAGTAAAATTGCACTAAGCACCATATTTATTGTATGTTTATTTGAAAGTGGAAAATTTCACCATGATAACCATTCTCTGATATTTAATACTATTCATGTTTGATTACAGAAACAGAGCATGTATTTCAAACTTAAAACCCTCACTGCACTTGAGGTGTTACACACAGCTTGTTATGTGAGATACTGAACACAATTTTGCACAAAATTATTAAAATCTCCTTCCTGCATGAAATTCTTATGGTTTTTCTAAGTCATGGGGGACCATGTTGGATATCTCAGAGAAAGGTGATTTTTCTAAAGTGAGTTGCAATGCATGCTTTAAAAGGCTTCCTCATAATCAAAGTACAAGTCCAAAAAAGTTAAAAGTGAATTTAACATGAAAACTCAGGTCAAATTTATCCCTCAGACTCCAATAATCTCTTTTTCACCGTTTTGTTTTACTGAAGACAGGTACAAATATATGAACTTACTCTAAATCTTGAAAATTTTAATCAGATTCTATTTGATTTAGCAAAAATTTGTTCTGCACTGCTTACGTTGATGTCAGTGTACAAATATTCACATATCTTAGTATTCTTCAGGTATAATCCCCCATAGCATTCAAGTGGAATGCCTGCAGTTTTGTAATAGGGAAAATACCTGCACAGGGATAGGCTTTAAATTTTATGCTAAATATATTAAAATTCAAATGATGTCTTATGGAAAAGTGACTGAAACCAGGAGCCACGTATTAAATATCACATAAAAATTTTAGAGCAGCCAGAGCCAGATTCTGCTCCCTGTGGAGACAAATCATAACACAGGGTAGAATTTAGAATGTAAGTATTAGGAAAAAACATGGCAACCTTCTTTTTCAGCACAATAAGATGGGTATAATTTCACCTCAGTGCCCAAGGATAGGGTTGCACTCCTTCAAACACTGCAGCTGAAAGATGGAATAGACTTTTATCGAGTTTCTAGATATCCTGTTATCTATATCCTCTTCCTAATCTATCCATTGTACTGTGCTATGGTGTTACCAGATCCAACTGCATCCTGCTTTGCTTTTAAGCAGAGAGTGCATTTTGGAGACTGAGTAAGGACAGAGAATCCTTCCCCATCTTAGAGGAATCATACAGTACATCAGCTAAGTCAAGCCTTTTTGCCTACTCATTGTGTGAGTGGAATGCCAATCTAGGTTAAAATTCTGTGTATAGTCATTCGCCTCTACCAAATATAAAATTCTTCTCTACCAAAATAAAGAGATTTTTTTTCCCACCACTTATTTAGGGAAGCATTCTACATTGCATTTAAATGTTCCTGTGTGGCCTCATGTCTGCGAGACTGGAATTTATCTGAATGTTTTTGTTGCCATTCTGTTGGCAATCAGACCAGTCTTGCTGTCTTGCCAACTAAGGGATCTTAATAGCACTATCTGTTTTTCGAGTAGCATCATTTTTCTCTGTATTGCTCTATTTGCCTCTCATGCTAATTTTGCTTAGAAGTTTCTTGTGATAGGAATGCAGTTTTGCTTTGTAGTCTAATACTTAAAAAAAAAGTATGAAAGCAAAATAACAATTTACAGATCTTTGTGTTTCTCTATTGAATTATTATGTTCTAGAAGACAAGTGGTTTCATAATTAATCCAGTTGGGAGGCATATAAAGGACTAATTTGGAACCTCAACTATCTTGGGTCTTCCCCTGGAATTTAGCAATATACTTTTTGATTCATTCATGCAGCTTGTATTTTTATAAGGTTAGTCTCAGCTGGTTCAGCTCACTTCTAAACACTTGCTAGGGAGCACACAGCAGCCACAGACACGGAGTACTGATGAAGGAGAAAGCAGAGTGGCAGCCTTCAGTTACTTACTGTGAATCATCCATAAACCCAGACCCCTTCAGATTCTCCCTCTCTCCAGCCAGCAGTAGTGGTACTTTACTGATACCCCAGTTTGGAATGCCTTCCTTTCCCAAAGGAGTGGTACTGCTGAGAATAAAGTGACAAGACTGAGCTGAGACTGTGAGACAGTGAGACTGAGTGCTGTGAATTTTTGTCAGTCTTTGCACAGGGCCATGCCTGCTTCTAGTGCAGCCTTCCTACTTGCAGACTATATTCCAAGATTAATGCCAGAGAAAACTGGTCATGGTCTTCTGTTAGTCAACAAACACCTATTCAAAACTCCATGGATTTTTTATTGAGAGAAATGTATGACACAGCCATATGTGCTTTACTAAAACTCCCAAATATGAACAAGAAGACATATTACCCAAACTACTAGTGATCTTAAACAAATGTCATCAAACAAAAAGCATACTGACATCCAGCTAATACTTAAAGTAATAGTTTTGACACATTTTGTACAGGGTTGAGAAAACTGTTTGGCTACAGCTGACAAATAAAGAACTTTCTAGGCCATACTTGTGATTTATATTGGTTAAGAAATGGCACCAAACCCATTTCTTAATGTCTGAATCATAATTATGATATCTGATGTGAGGCTTCCTCCTGCAGAAGTCACTTACACAAAGTATGAATTTGCACTGGGTATTTGGAATTTCCATTGTGGAGGCTCAATCTGCCCTCTTAGCAGTGACAGGAGATTTATAGAGACAGCTTGGCAGGTCAGAAGGGGAGGACCACCGCTGTCAGTTGTTCCCAGTGCCTTATCTGACATGGGCAGCACGGCATGGGACCAGAAGAGATTGTGTGCTCTGTGCACTCCTTCTCCACAGCAGCTCCAGAGATCAACTGTCCTTGCAACTGCTCCCAATGATCTTGAGGAACAGTGGTTTGATCACTCCCATTTACCAAAACTACTGTAATAGGATCAGTTCCTTATGACTTAAAAGGTCAGTATATGCTGCAATAAAAATTACTATGAGAGAGTATTTTAGAATAGTTTAAAACTTGTTCCTGTGTTTTCTAGCTCCTCTGCTGACTGCATAGGTGCTCACAGAGGTAGGTGCAGACACAGTTTCTGAAACCTACAGTCACTTTCAAACCCCCTTATCCCCCTGAAAAAAGCATTTTCCAGAGAAAGCAAACAAAATAAATCTAAAGCCATCGGAATATCCCTTACCTACTCAAAATAGAGCATAAAACCACAAAATATTTAAGCTATCAGGAGTGTGGAAACTGTCCAGCTTTCTGAGTTTTCTGTGGCCTAGTCAAGATTGCAGCTGCATTTAAGTAGCTGCTGGCACAACTGTTTCAACCACTGAATGTTTTTCACAAGCACAAGAATTGTCAAAAGATGAGTTACATTTTTGCCCATACTTTATCATACTGTTCTCAAGGTAAATTTCCTTTGGGTAATCTATGGATTCAAGGGACAAGCTCTAAGATAGGCCAGCAGAATTTGATTTAAAACAGTAACTGATTTAAATCGGTTTTATGTGATTTAGAAAAAAAAGCTTCTTTAATGGCATTGTGTAAATGACATATGGAAATTTTAGAATAGCTATACTGAGCCCTTCAACAGTAGTACACCAACCAATTTAAAATATATTTGAATATACCTGTGATTGGTTTCGTTATTTCCAGTGAGATGCTTACAAGAGAAATGTAGTCCCTTTTTCCTCTGTAAAACAGAGCTCTAAATCAAATTACCTTATCAAATCTTCAGAAGAAAAAGACAATTTCAAGCTTCTGAAAATGAAATCCCTTCATGTAAAAAATTTTGAGTTTTATGTAAGTTCTCTAAATCCATATGAACAATATTTCTCATCACGAGCTTGTCTGTAAGATGAGGCCTAGTTTGTCAAAGACCAAAGATTGTAACCATGCTTACCTATGCTGCTTTAAGGGCTGTGTGTGTCCTGCAACTTTCTTGCCTTTTGCTTCTTCATTCCTAATAAAACACAATACTTTATAAGTAATATACTCAGTGTATCTTGAAAACACTTTATAGCTTCTTTGGACATGACATGTCAAACCAAGTGCCAAAAGAAAAGCAATTTTCCCTTGACTTTGCAAAAATGTACTCCACTTTGATAATATCACAATATGAATATTCTTTGCATTATTCCCATCTATTTTTTAACAACTTCTGTAGGCAACATATGTGATGCTCAACCCTTTCTTTTGTATTTAATTATTGTAATATGTATTTTAGTTCCTCTGATTCCTCAAAAACCTGCCCAGCAGATTTTGAAGGTTAAATAAGTTTTCCGCTGTACATGAAAGTTTTTTTTGTGTGTGTGTGATGAAGTTCTAGTTCTTTTTATATTAAAATGCTCTTAAGATTTTTGTTGCTCCTTTAGTTAAATAGACACCATCTACCATCTTTTTTTTCAAGCACTGCAGAAAGAATTAAAACCTGAAACAAAGTGAAAAGCTTTACTGTTGTTTTTAGAAATAGTGATCATAAGAGTAAAGTAAATACTGAAGTCTTTGTGTATAAACCTGTTTGTTTTTCTGCCTTTAAAATTTTAACACTTTGTGTCCCTTGTGTAAACTGAATATCTTCAATTACCAAAAATATTTGGTTTAACAATACATTAAGGAATTTCACTGCTCCTTAGTTCCAAATCACAAAATTTATTTACTTGACAGAGAAGTTTTCCAGCATCAGAAGACAAAGATTGGTCCTCATTCAAAAGTACAATGTTAACAATTTAAGGAATTACCTAATTTATTTAGTCTGTACTGATTAACTTTGTTCTTGATGGAGACAGCTGCTATTGCATGTGATGACAAATGAAACTCCCTGCTATGCTGCAAAGTTTTCTGACTAAATGGGCTGGTCTCAATGGCCATAGAGAGCATGAAAAAGAAAAGAGATGAAAAAAAGACTTGTGGCTTTTTTTAGTTGGTTTTTTTTTCTGTTCTTAAAATTTGAATTCAAATTATCAAGCTGTGTTGATTTGAAAATTGGTGTTTATATTTTATTAATTGTATTGTGTGCTGTGACATGCCTGTGAACCTACAACAATTAACCAGCTTATTTTTCCAAGATATGAGTGTTGTTTCAATTATCCTTTTGAAATTTTATTTGTGGCATGCTGTAATTATATCTTGCACATACATTTTGTAAAGTTTCCCATTGAACTGACAAACTGTGCATTGTGTCGACAAACCCCAGCTTGTTGTGTTTGCTGTTTTGAGCATGCTGTGAAAGCTGGTCCCTTGTGCTCCAAATGTAAATTGGACACAGCTAATTGCACCTACAGCTGGTGAGCAGGTTCAGTGAGTGCCGATTTCTGGAGGGAAATGTGCCTCCACTCCTCATGCTTACACAGAGCTTTGAATCCTCCTTTAGATGTGCTTCATTATTGGCAGGGGTAGGCTTCACTGCCACTGCTTCTTATGGGAAAACAGAAGATTCTGTACTTGTTGACATAAACACGGAAATGTTTTTCTGTTTTGAATGTGGACTATTTCTCATGACTTTCTGCGCAAAACTCACTTCCCAAAAACCTGAGTGATGAAACTTATTCTAAAGTAAAAGCAATCTTACACTCTCGTGCTGTTTGTAGAGTCCTTCACTCCAGAGAGAGGTACAACACCTAACACAAAGAGAGGCTGCAGTTCTGTGGTGAGCTGCAGCTGCTGAGGTAGGGAAGAGGAGACTTCAAAAAAAAAAAGGATGTGGTGCTAATTTTGAAAAAAATTCAGTCCCTTGTGGATGCCTTGTGGGTGCAGTTATGGGAAATGCACAGGGTGTAAACTCAGCAGACATCTGGTGGTGACAAGCTACCAGAGAGGAATTAATGAGTAGCCTCACAGAAGGGGCTGTTTTGGTTAGATGCAGTATCATTTTTACTCTGCCAGATACATGAATATATTGTTCCTGATTTTGAGGAAAAATGACTAAAAGCAAGTCAGAAGGAACAGCCAGTTGGTCTTAAGTAGCTGATGTGTTGACCAATGGAAAATAAATTGTGGCTTGAAGAAAATACTTTCTGAGAGTAAGCCTGCATCAGTAATAAAGAAGTTGCCATGAAAGTGAAACTGCATGAACGTCCAAGGCCCAGCCTCCTTAGAGCAGTGCTAATCCAACAGATTACAATCTCTGTATGCCAGCTAAATAAAACCAACAAAAAAATAGCTTTAGAACTGAATACTAAAGGAAGGAGTGAAAACTTCTTCAAAAATTCCTATGATAGTTTGCTGATTTTCTAATGGCTACATACTAAGATCTCACAGAAGCTTTTGGATTGTGAATTACATCATTTCACACAAAAGAAGTAAACACACACTTTAAATTGCACAAGCCAACAGAAGGAGACCATGAGAAGAATCACCTTGCTAAATGACAAAATAGCAGGATTTAAATTTACTTATACTATTTTTACTTCTTCAGAATGACTATGTTCCTAATTCTTGGATACATAACAATATTGAGGAAAAAACCAATGGAAAGTTTGTTTGAAAATACATGCTATGTAACATCACAGATCTAAGGCTTGTACTTTAATATAATTTAAGACAGTTCCATATTGGAAACCCCAGAATTCACTGAAAAATAAATACAGTTACCATGCATCACAGAGGAAAAGAGAATCTCATGTATCATTCTGCAGGTAAAACATCTTTTATAAGGACTTGACTTACTGAAACTTTGAGATTGGCAAAGTCAAGATATTAAGGGCTTGTGGTCCTGTTAGGATTAGAGGGAGTAAAAATACTTTCTGTGTAAGTATAAAGTAGCTCAGTGTAAAGAACAAAGTGAACTGCCCCATTGAACAAAGAAGCAGCAGTGAGTTGAAGGAATGTTTTCCTGGGATCTCTATCAGGCTTTTCTTCAAGAGGTTTCACGCTCAGCTGAATGTTAGAAGCAGATTATCTACAAATACACTTCACTTCTGCTTATGTATTATATTTCCCTGTTAATAATAGAATATTAAAGCTGTTTTCTTGGTAAGCCAAGGCTTCTGATGTAGCAATAACCCACCTCTTTGTGTGTCTCTCACATATTTTAGCAGTTGCAAGTACTTACTTAATACATAATCTTTGTTTACAGACAGGGGTTGCAGAGGTGGAAGTGGAGAATTATGGCTGGAGCTATTCAAAGAGATTAGAATTTGCAGTTTGTTTTCAGCAGTGTTGAATAACATTGAGGATTGTTTGGTGGTGGTGTTTTTTTTGTTGGTTTTAAAACTTTGTGACATATTTAAGCAGATTTTCTGATGTGCTGCTTTACTGAAGTGTCTGCTTTCTCAGCATATATTTCAGTACAGTGTTTTCACAGTATCATGAGCATGTGCTTGGCACAACAAAACTGTCTTAAATTTTTATCTTTTCTTGCCGACCTTAAAAGAGGAAATGTTTTTCAATCCTTTTTAAAAATATGAGTCAACAAGAGACAACTCACATAAAAGGAGTGCATTTTCATGTAATGGGCACATCATCTCACACCGTATCCCTTGATTTGAATGGATTTCCATCTGCAAATGGCAGTGAAATTGTCCATATACAAGTCTGATGGTCTTTGTTTTTACTAATGATATGGTCTCCTTAATGACAATTAATGACAGTAAAACATGTCAGGAAGGGAGAAGTGTGATCATTAAGAAAGAAAGTGACCCTGTGATAGCAAAACACTTCACTTGTACTAGGTAAGGCAATTGCTCCCACTGTTTGCTTTTGTAAACAAAATGAGTGGTCAGGATGTTTCTCAGGATCAAGTGCATACAGGAGAGCAGCCACTGCTAGATTCTCGATTCCTTAATTCTAGAAGACAGGTGTACAAACTGTAAAAGGGACATATCTAGGGTAGCTTTGCAGACAAATGTCTCAAGGGACCTGTTGCTGCACAGTGTCACAAAGGGCTGACAAAATGTGTAAGAGCAAGGGGAATTGATGCTGTCACTTCAGCACAGAGTGGTTTTTGGGATTAGACAAGGCACTTTGCTGTATGGGGAAGTACAGACACTGAGACAATGCACAGCACTGGTATCAAAAGACAGTCTTGATGTTCTATTGGCATTCAGTAGTAATGACACTTGATACCACATTCATGGGTTGGTGACAAGTGTCTTCAATGTGAGTTTACAGGATAAACTATGACAACTGGCGTATTGGTCATTATTTGTGGCAGTGTTCATTAATACAGAAGTAGGAGTGTCTTGTCAGTAGGAGTATCTTCTTAGTGGTACTGGCTCCAGCAAATACATCAAACATGTCTTTCATACTAATGTTCTTTAGCATATAAAATAAAGTTCAAGTTTTGGGCTTGAGCCAGCATCTCTGATTGCTTGAAGTGGTGGAGTAACAGTAATGTTTAGCAACTTCATTGCCCTAGAGTGGATATACACAAAGGTAGCTGTGCAAGAGAGATTTCTTGGGTACCAAAAAAAAAAAAAAATCTACAATCCAAAGACCCATTGGAAACCTGGCTTTCTGCTGTAAGAGCTTGTCTTCACCAAAAAAAGCTCAGTCCAACTGAAAGCAAGGCACTAACCATGCCTTTTTATTTTAGGAAAAGGGTGGAAGGAGAATTACTTAATGGCAGAAGCTGATGATAGTGCTGGATGTGCTGTTCTGGAAGGAGCCGCTGCTGCAGAGAGCTCTGCTCAGCTAATACTGAACTGAAGGAGCTCCAACATCCGCGTCTGTGCCAGGGAATTCAGCAGGGACATCACTGCCTGCGCGAAGCACAGACTGATGTCTCGCTGCTGCTATATAGAACCAAAATTTAAGGCAAAGATGAGAACAAAATGGAAGGCAGAATCGTAACTCTAGCCTCCAGTAGGGTCTGAACCAGACACGCGGGGCAGCAGCAGAAGCACAGCACACACTGTAACACCACTTTCCCCACTTGCAATGAGCCGCTCGTATTGCCAAGGGAAGCGCTCACACAGGTATTGAGGTTTATCCGTGCGGGCTCGCCTCGGGCAGGCCGGCCCGGCCCTGGTGTCCCTCACCCCGGCAGGGCTGGCACCCGCGGGCCGGCACCGCGGCCAGCAGCCGCTCGCCTCACGATCCTCCTGTGTGGGGATATCGGCGGCAGGCAGGGAAATCGGCGATAGGAACGAAACTCAGCGATAAGCAGCAAAATCACCCGCAGCAGCTCACCCACAGTCCCGGCAGGCGCGGATAGCGCGGCGACCCCGCCTCCCGGCCGTGCGCCGCCACAGGCGGGGCCGCGCAGGCGTGTCACAGCGGGACTGTAAGTCTCCATTTTGTGTTCGTTTCGCCCCTTCCCCCTGTCCCCGCCGCCGGTGGCTCCGGCGGGAGCGGCGGGCGCGGAGCTGCGGGCAGCGCTCCCTCCTCCTGAGGCACCGCCGCTCCCCTGCCCGCCGCGCCGCCGCCCCTCACGGCCCCGCCGTCCTCCTGCCCCTCCCCGCTGGATGTGGGAATACCCTCGTGGGGAGGTTTCGCGCGAGTTAAAATTGTTTTATTTGCCCCTCGTGGGCGCTGCTGTGTCCCCGGTGAGCGGCGGCCGTTCGGTGTGTTACAGCAGATCCATCAATTCTCGTGCTCCGGCAAAACGCGAGGCTGTCATTGCAGCAGCCAGCCCGTGCTGGGTCACTGAGACCGAGCAGTCGCTGAAGTTTGAATTTCTGTGTAACGCTGTAACGCTAAAAACCATTTCAGAAACATTACGTGCTTTTATACCAGTTCCTAAATGATTTTAGCTGAACATGGGTAGGTTGCGTTACAGTACCGTACACTATATAAAGGTAGCTATGTTTTTCCGAGGATACCGTGTGTCCAAGGGATATATTTATATTGCAGATTCCTAGTAACTCATTTCAGAAATTAATAAAATCAAGATGAAGGACAAGAAAAAGCCCCACTCCCTACCCCCTTCCTAAAATAATCCTCTTGTTCTCGGCTGTAGGATGGAACCTAAAATGTGAGCACAGAAGTTTTCAGCTAAAAGTTTTGAGACAAAAAATATTTTAGGTTTAAATTATTTTTGGGGGTGTAGTGTAATTAAAAATCTTACATGATTTCATAATCTTAAAAAGAGGAAAATACAAAGTTCAGTTCAAAGAGCAACTGTGCAATATGTCCACCCATAAGCAATTTTTAAAGTATTAATTTTTGAATGTTGGATTTGGGTGATCCAGATAAGGCATTACAGAACATGTCCTATATCTTAATTTAAAACTGAATCACTGAAATGTCTAATGGAAAAAATGGCATTAAATATTTTGTCTTTTTCCTCAGGCTTATCTCCAATAAATAGCAGGTCCCCTGATTCCATAACCTGCATTCACATTTCTTTTCAAATGCACTTTTAGACATTCTGAATAATTTTAAATCTTTGAATGACAGAAAAGTACTTTTCCTATCTTTAAAAGTTACATTCTGTGTGCTGAAAAATTCTACACACAGACACTACTTCTATCCTGTGCGAGGCAGAGTGCTGGCAAAAGCTGAGTTTAGTTTGCTTGTCAGTTTCACCACTTACTATGAAACCTTTAGTTCATTTCTTGCAACTTGTTTTTATTTTTTTTCCCTTGTGAGACATTTTGTTAGAGGTGCTGCTAGTTTCATTCAATAGAAGCTGTTACTTTTCCAAGTATAGCATTTCTAATGCAAGTTCTAATTCAATCTCTTCAAAACATGCTATTATAATAATGCAAATTTAATTGGTATTGTAGTATTGAGAAAACTTAGAAGAATTAAGGCAGCAATATGTGAAAGCTGTGGAGCGTACTTGTTTTCATTCACTTATTTATTAAACATTTAATCCTTTTTTCAGATGCTTTTATTCAGTTTATAATTTCATTTTCTTTGTTATGGTTTGTGTCTCAGAGTGCAATGAGAAGAATGTGTTACACAAAGCTTGTAGTCATAGTAAAGTATTTTAGTTTGACAGTATGTAAAAGTATTCAGTTTTGACATTTTAGTTTGAGCTGTGTGTTTGCAGTTTCCATTGACTTTGCTAGTGGCCAGGTTAATACTTTTACATGCTGGGAAAATTGGAGGATATAGAGATGCTATTGGAAACAGTGGGTCAACTCATATAACTTAACATTGCACATGGGATTATCCACTTGTCTTGCATATTACAACTGTGTATGTACTTTATAGGATTTGCCTTTTTATAGTTACAATGTATAATCCTCTCATTCATTTTGTCATCTGTTACATGAATCCTTTTGTGAATTTGCAGAAAATTGAATTCCTCAGTTTTATACTTGTCAGTCATTCTTTCTTCTCCAGTATCTGCAGCTTCAATGATGTCAATTACATTTATTTATATTGTAATTTTTCCTGTTTCTCCAAAGGTTAAAAATATTGTCGCTTTCCAACTTTGTCAGCTGATCTATGTATAGAATGTCTTTAGTGTGTAAATAAACAGCTTCAGACAAATTGGCCATGCTTACTACAGAGGGCCAAATGTTGATATATTAAGTCTCCAAGAAAAATGTTGTTGATTTCTGTAACTCAGATCCTAACAGGAGAATGATTGCAAACTGCAAATTGATTACTTTCAAATATTTTGGTGCTGTGTAGGCACTGTTTTATTTTGTGCATCAATCTAAGTTGACCAGTATCATCCGTATTTCCTCCTTATTAAAATAATATCTCAAGTGTCTTTTTTGCCTTCCTATAGATTTTTTCTCACTTAGATTTAAGTTATTCTTACAGGGCTACATGGTTTTGTTGCTTTGTTATTTCCATAAGCTCTAGGGGGAGATGGACACTTTAAAGAACGTCTTAATAAATTACATTCATTTTTCTTGTCTTTCTCTACTCCACCAGTAATTTATCAAATAAAACTCTCAGACATGTTTGGTGCAATGTGTTCCTTGTGCATCCTTGCAGTTTATACCTCATGTTTTCCAAGTGCAGTGTTCAAATGCGTACATAATTGTGACTTTTTGTTTGCTTGTTTGGTTTTTATTTATTTGTAAGGCCTAACCAAATCTCAGTTTGTTTTGTTTGCTGATAAAATGCCTGCTGGGTTCCTTTGCGTACCAGGGAGGGAAATATGATTGTCCCTAAAGTGACAGGATAATTCTGCATATCCATGGTAAACAGTCAATGTCAGAATTTGGAGTCTTTCACTTTTGCATGTAAGTTTTTGTAGTGAAGGAGTTACCTCTCCACATAATAATGTGCACACAAACTATGGATAAAATTGGGTTGTGTGGGAAAAGCAACTTCATAATCAGCGTTTAGAAAGCTTTACTGATAAAAAGGAAACTTGCATTAGTTGAATGTGCTTCCTGTTGGAAAGGGTTGGATCTGGCCCTGATTGTGCCTAACCCAGCACCCTCAGTGTCCCTGCAGTGTCCCTGGGGACTGTGCAATTAGGTTTCGCTTGTGCTCCCAGTGGCTCAGCTGTTGAAAGGGTTTCTGCAGAAGCCATCAATTAAGACTAGTTCCTCCTTCCTTCCCTTAAATTCCAAGGTAGTCTGCTAACTGTATCCTACATGGAACAGACTGGAAAAGGGCTGAAAGAGCTCTCCTCCCCCAGTGCTTGGACTGTGAGGGGGAATCCCAAGCTGTAAAAGGCCCCAGAGTGGAGGTTCCTAAGACTGCAGTCCCTGAGGGGGATATCCCAGGTGGGAGCAGGTGTGTGCATAAATCCCTGCAGATTGTTACAGTAACAGGGTAGAATTTTTCAAATTTAGAGAGTGCTTCTGCAGGCCTGCTCCTCTTGGAAGTGGCATGGCTATTCTAATAGCAAACTTGAAAAATTGTAAAAAGGGCTTGGGAAAAAAAGCTGGTTTTAATCTTTTGGGCAATACTAAAGAAAATGTCCTTATTGTGGGATTTAAATAAGCCTTTTTATTTTATTCAGACTGTGTGCTTCTCCTCTCATCAATCTGCACTGCAATACTGAATATTCCCAGTGTGGCTCATCAGATTTGCATTGTAACACATAACAACAGCTGCATTTTTCTGCTTCACATTTGTAGCTACTCCAAAGTACAGAATTTCTGTATTGGCACTGCAGTGATGTCTGTTACTTTATCAATATAATGCTCTTACTGCATGAGGAGCCAAAATCATTTGTATCAATTCTTCTGAATGTAAAGCTTTTTTAGCATTAATGTTTGCAGGGATTTAGCAAGGTCTTAAGTCACTGAAAATCTGATGTGTCTAGTAGGTATTGGCCTTGGCAAGTGTTTTGTTGTTCAGAAGTCATTGCATACTGAATTGTTGGAATACTTTATATATGTCATTTAATTTGCTTTCAAAGTTATTTCTGAAATGTTAAAGAATAAGGCTTTAAATTGGCATAGTGTTGATGCTTGGCACTAAGTATACATATTATTTATCCTCTTTAGTGTTATTATGCAAATACTGAAAATTAAGTACCTTCTAAACTGTTTTGCTGGATTTGTGCACGAGTCTTAACTGAGAACTAAGAGATAATGAAGGCCTGTTAGAAAGCAGTAGGTAACACATGAGGCTTAAATTTGCATTTAGTTCGCATTAGGAATGACATCAGTGTTCTGTTAGTGAAAACAAAATAATGATTCCTTAAACTGGTAGGAAGTAAAGTGTTTAATAGGGACTTTGGATTTTGAAATAGCTTTTAAATAGCATTCATGCAGTAATGTTTTTATAGATGGTCACTAAAATGAAAAGGTGCTTGATTTTGTTGTTTTCTGTTGTCACTACTTTGCCCGTTTTCATGCTTCACCTGACTTTTGCTATCTTCCTGATACTTCCCTTTCAAAAGGAAAAAAAGGAAAAAAAGGAAAAGTAATTAACTTTGTATACTTTATCCACGATCTTTTTGGCATTTTTATGAATCAAAACCAATTGCTTCATTACTTGTTTGTTTGATATACAGTAGCAGAGCAACCTAGCTGACAGTCTTTAGATCCCTCTATGAACTTTGAAATTACACTTGCAGAGAAATGCATGTCTCCTTTTTATTTCTTGTGATGGGACATCTAATGATTTCAGGCTTTCAGTCTTTTTTTTAGTGCATGTTGTGTTATTAAATATTTAAGAATTATATGGTTGTGATGAATCCTATTTCAGAAGAGCAGAATTTGGTTCATTGCAGATAAATTTTCAGGTTTTTACTTGTTTTTAAAACATTCAATATTAGAAAGAGAGGGGGAAAGGACAAAAGAGAGCTTGCCTAAATCTGGGGTTTATGAGTCTCTTAAGTCTTATTTTTGATTAAGCAGATGTTTTGCTGAAGAAAATGTGTAGTCTTCTTTAAAAATATGGTTACGTTCACAT